TGCCCTAGGTTCTTTCACTTCTTCGGGGTCGAGGATGGTTAGGTTTCGTATGGGTATTTTAGTATTTTTTGAGATTTAATGATAATGATGCAAATTAAATTAAAAGATGCGATTAAACTTAAAGACAAAAATTAAAGTGCGGTAAAGTAAATCAAAGCACTAGACAAACGTAAATTGAACAAATAACAAACTAAGAATGATATGAACGATAAAGACAATAAAACAAAGCAATATGAAATTAAATTAAACTTAAAGCAAATTCGATAACAATTTAAAAGTAAAGCAATAAACTTGAATCTTAAAACAACGTAATGGAAAATGCAAGAAATTAAACTTACACTAACAAAAGTGAAGAATTGATCTAGTCTACTTGCTTGGAAAATAAAAACCTAGTCTAGGGATAGAAAAGTGAGACAAAAAGTAGGTTTTTGTGTTTGATGTCCAAAGGGGCCTTTTGCTCTTTGTCTGATGAGGTTTATATAAAGGCATTCGTTAGCCCATGGTCTGGCCATTAAATGGCCAAAGGTCAACTTCATTCAAATCTTTCCTTGTGTGGCTTCCTAAATCTACGAAATTGATTCGAATGAGATCATCATATTGCAAATCTGATCACTTGATTCTCTCCTATTCAGGAATGTTTCAGATTGACATCACTCTCTTTGATTGCTTTCCTTGGATGGATCTCGTCACGTGCATGAAAACAGCTGGAGGTTTTGGGCCTACTTCCGCGGGTTGGGCTTGGACCTCCAAGGACTTGGGCTTAACATCTGGTGAGACGTTGTAGCTTCCGGAGTCTTTAGTCGTGACTAAAAGAAATTCACCGATGTTGGGGTGGCATGAGAGGCCAATGAATTGCGTGAGTTGTATGACCAACTTGTGATGAGCCCACAAAATCTTTGAATTAAGAAAACACTTAATATACCAATTTTGATAAAACTACATATATAATAATTAATGATTATATATGTAAGCCATGAAAAGCTTATTAATAACGCCCATGCCATAAGATTTCTTGTGTATATGCATATATTCTTGATATGAAAATCATCCAACTTGGCCATCCAATTTGGCCATTGTTTTTTGCTGGGGTGAGTTACTAGGCTACAAAGAACTTTTGAATTATTTTCATAAGGTGGGTTCTAGACACTACTTCTATCATTTTGAATTTAGAGCATTCTCAAGTCACAAAACCATTACCCAAAACCAAGGACCATCTTTGGCTTCCAAACTCTTGCCCACCTTGGAATTGTCAAAGTGACATATATGGGTCTGACGTGACAACTCTTCCAGCCAAGTCTTTGACTTGGTTTCAGCCAACAATTTGGCCATCTTCACAGTCAACTATTTGGCCATCCTCACAGCCAACTCTTTGGCCATCCTCACAGCCAACTCATCGACATGTTCTCCCAGCTAACTTTTAAAAGGCCATTCTTTTAGCCAACATATATTCTTCCAACAAGTATTTGACATGTGCTCCATTAATCAACCAACTTGAAAAAGCCATTCTTCCAGCCAAGTTCAAAACGTCATTTTGGTTTATACTAATATATATTAGAAATAAGCAAATCTTTACTTCTATTTAATACTTTTATTGGGTCTTCAAATCTCCTTCAACAATCTCCTCTCACTCTTTCAAGAGCCTCAACTGCCATGCCACTCTAATCCAACCACAAGATTTGTGTAATTTCTATATCCAAGAGATGGGTTGTGTCACAACCACAACATATCGAAGGTGGAGTTCAACAATGGCTTCCTCTACCTCAACCCCAATCTTCTCCTCTTTCTTTATTCCACTCTTATCTTTGTGTCATTTATTTATATGTCATTTCTTGCAGAAGACCTTGATTCTTGACTAGAATGTAGAAATCCAAGAAGACCAAAAGACTTGGCCGTTTTTCTCCATAAAGTAGCTAGTGAGAATCCTACATCCCTTTGACCCCTTGGCTGACTCCAAGCCAAGTTTGTGGGTTTTATCATTCAATTAATTTATTATTTGGTTATTGTTATTATAAATAACAATATCCTTGTTTTGGCTAGGCCTTTGGGTTTCTTCTTGACTCAGTTTAAGATTGGTCCTCCTTGACTTGGTTTGAGATTGGAGACCACTTGACTTGGTTTGGAATTGGGTCTCCTCAACTTGGCTTGGAATTGAAGACCACACCCAAAAATTGCCCCCTTGATTCCTTGGCCTTCTATTGGTGGAAGGTAAGTGAATCAAAAGTCTTGCAACTTTTTAGTTTTCTTTGGATATTTCAACTTCATGCTTTATTGTAATTTATGGTGTTTGAACTAAATTGATGTTTAGGGAGATACCCTAATCAATTTTTGAGAGACCTTTGAATTTCGTAACCGTTAGAAAACCTAGGCATTATAAATACCATTTTGCCTCCAAATGTTTCTCCATAATAAATAAATAAAAACTCCATTGACATTGCTCTTAGAAAACGGTCTCCCACCAAACCTAAACTTTGCTTCCTAGATTCACCATTTGATAGGACAAAAACCATTAAAATCACCACCAAATCCTTTATTTTTGTGAGTTTTCAAGTATGTTGCACTGTTTTCCGGTTGATATTGTTGTGATTTTAATGAATGGTGGCCATTGGGAGCTTGTTTTTTCAACTTTTGAAAGTTTGAATATTCTTCATGTTCTTGGCAAATTTTGCCTTTTTTGCCGCTATATTTTTCTTGATTCAAATAATACTTGTGTTCGTAGGATGGATACAAAGCTGAAGTCCATCGTCTCTCACTTGGCCAAGTTGAGGAAGGCCATGGCTAAAAGTGAACAAAAACCCGAAGAAGCCTATGCCATTAAATTCCAAGGTGTCCAGAGATACGTTCTTGGCCCTTTGTACCCACTTCAACCTTCAGATGAAGTGGTGAGGATTTGGGTCGAGCAAAGTGATAATCCTCTGCCTTTCACCACGGAGTTGGGTCCAGCCAACGTCACATTCCGGGGTGACTCGCTTCTCAGAAAATCGATTGCTAGCCTACCCTTGCCCAAGCACCATGTTGAGGATTTCTCCCGATTTTTCTACGGATGCTTGCAGAGGTTACCCAGTGACTTATCCACGTGCTTAGATCATCGTTACTTGGATTATTTGGCTTTGGACCTTGCCAACATCCCCGCATTGGAGACTAAAGAAGAATGATGAGAACTTTGAGCAATTATCTTAATAAGTCGAGATCTTCCTTATGGCCTTCCATTGAACAAAAGGAACCATTACCCTTGCATTAAACAAGGGGAACCATATTATACTTTATGTATGTATGTAATTCTATAATAAATTAAAGCAATTTTATCATTCATATCCAATTTGGCCCAAGTTTGAGAATACCAAGGTAAACCCACATGGGTCCTCACATGCCCAAAACCAACTCTTCAACCAAGACTTTCATTCTCCAGCCAACTCAAAACCCCAGCCATGCCGAAACTTCAGCCTTGCCAGAACTCCAGCCGTGGGTCCTTGAGAGGAGATCTTGGCCAACTTGCGAGGCAACAGCCCAGACTGGAAAAACTTTGGCCGCCTGTTAAGAGAAGGTCCAGTTGGGATTTTGCGGAAAAGGCGCTCGGTTTGAAAGGTAAAGATCCGGCAGTCCACCAAGGCCATTTTTTGAGGTTAGCTAGAAACCCAGCCTGGCTGTGCAAGGAGGAAAACCCCCGGCTGCCTGTCCTTGCTTTGGCTAGAAGGTCCAGTCAGCTGTTGCGAGAAGAAAGCCTGGATTGCGAGAGTCAGCTGGAGGCCCAGCCCTTTTGCAAGAGTTAGCTAGAAACCCAATCCGAATTTTGTGAGGAGTTGGCTGGCAAAAAGGTTTTGCAAGTGGCTAGTGAGACAACTCCAAATCTTGAATTTACTTAACTGATCATTTATCCCAAACCCAACTAGTTTGATATTATTTATTTATTGCTATTTGTTTATTGGCTTGACACCTTGGAATTGGAGACCACTTGACTTGGTTTGAGATTGGAACCACTTGACTTGGTTGGAATTGAGACCACTTGACTTGGCTGGAATTGGAGACCTCATCCAAACAGTTCCATTTGGTGTTTGAGTTTCTTTTCATCTTTGTGCATTTGGAATTTTCAATCTTTCACGTGTGCAAGCTTGATATTGATAAAATCTTGTTTTGCATTACCATGCTTCAAGAAAACAAATCATCTTTCGAGCATAAGATGAGATAAGATTGGATTCCAACCATTAATAATTAAAGAGTATTTTATGAATAATGGTGGGTGGAAAGATAAGATTGTGGTTTTTCAAATTTACATGGTGGGTGGGTAAATAAGACAAGAGGTGTAAATAACAGCTCTCAATTTTTTTATAACTAAATTACTAAAATACCCATGTCACATTAGCAATTTAACGATGTTATTGAGAAAATTGACAGAATGGGTGAACATGGGACACAAATGAAAACACATGGAGCACATTAACCCAATCAAAAATGTAAAGGGCAAATTAAGATTTTTGGTAAAGCATATGGGGCATATTAATAAATAACCCAATTATTTTTGCTCATTTGTGAGAGGGACCGCAAATGGCATTATTAATAGGGAGATTCACTATTATACCTAATATAAGAGCTCAAATTATAAAAATACCACATATAAAATAGACTTTAGAAACACACCAAAAGCCTATTTACAACATAATAAAGAGACTTTTAATTTCTTATAAATTACAAAATTGCCATCAAATTCTTAAAACAATCCTAACCCCAAAATCTCATAAAAAAACCAAAAATACTCAATAGGGTATCAAAGTAATTTAATAATCAAACTTAAATTCAATAGGATCAGCTGTCATTTTTTGGGTTTATTTATAGAAATTTAATGGTATAAAGTTTATCTATATTATTAGTGCTAAGAATGGATATATGACTAAATATCTCTTATTAATATTATCATTAAACCGGTTAAGTTTCTTCTTTTAATCTGAGTCACAAAATTCATCCAACGGCTAATAAGGCCCTCCCCGCATCTATCCCTCCTCAACTTAACATCCCGCGCGTTAGAGAAAATCAGTACGACTAAAACCCTAACAAACCCATTTTGTAACATAAACCCTAAAACCCTCGTCCCCAATTTACTCGCAGAGCCCAAACCAAAATACTAACCCCTGAATTCTCAATTGTATAGAAGATTAAGTTTTGAACTTGAGAGTTCAGAAGCAATGACCATGGAGGTGGAACCAGAGGGGAAGAATGTGATGTGCCTTCTGACGGACCCAGAAGGGACGCCATTGGGAAATTCCGTGTACCTTCCCCAAAACACCGGCCCGCAACACCTTCAACAAATCGTCAATCAGCTTCTCAACAACGTATGCTCATTTTCAGCTCTTCTTTGTAAAATTTTGTCTCTTTAACTGCTTTTTTTGGTTGTTGAAAAATTCGGCTATATTGATTTTAATTTTATGATTTAGTTAAAGTTTCTGTATTACACCTTAGGTTCCATTTGAAGAAAACACTTCCCCCTCAAACCTAAAAAAAGAAGAAAAAAAAGAGAACTGACTTTTTTCTTCTTCTTCTTCTTATTGTGAAGTTTTCGAATTCACCTGATTAAAGCAGTAGAATGTCAGTTAGTAATATAAATTACTAAGACAAATAGAAGACAAATATATATATATATTTAACTGATAGGATTGTAGCAGTTTTTGTTGTTGTAAATAATTTTTCTTTTAGAAGAAAATGTGACATGCGTCATTTATAAGTGATGCAAGCATCCTCAAGAATTACAGTTTTATGCGTTCCTCAAGAATTACCCTTTTATGGGTTCGTATAATACAAAATATATTAGCAAGCAATGATTTATGGCCATTGTTGTGGATCCTGCTTCTTAGTGCGGTGGTTTTACATGCTCACATAAGTAGTGATGTCTGCATTTTGTGTTTGTTCAGGAGGACAAGCTGCCTTATGCTTTCTATATATCAGATCAGGAACTTCTTGAGTCACTTGGAAAATATTCGGAGAAGAATAAAAGTTAGTTAAATCATGACAGAAGTATCAGTTAACATTTCATCTTCCATAATTGTGTATATCTTAAACAATTTTGACAACTAAAGATTTTGGGCTGCTTTTTCATTTCATACACTTTTCTGGTGAAAAACCTTGGCAGTTTCTGTTGAGAAGGTACTGAAAATAGTTTATCAACCACAAGCTATTTTCCGAATTCGTCCTGTTCATCGGTGCTCGGCAACAATTGCTGGTATGGGTGTTTCTCTCCTATCCATGTCACACTAAGGATGTATTTATTGCTAAATAGCATGGATTTGTCTTTCTAAATACACTCCCTCTTACCCCCCACCACCCAATTTTAGTTTGTAATTTTATGATTGTAATATTTTAACATTAATGGTTTCATTTTTTTGTCTTTCTTTTTCAAAAAATTTCTTTGGACAAGTGTTTGTGATATATGTTATTCTAATGTTCAGAGCTCTCTGAACCGAATCATTTTTTAGGCTTCATAATGGACCTGATTAATTGTTTTTTTGTGGTCAACCTCTCTCCAGATTGACTCACTAAATGCCAATTTTTGTTACCAATGTGCAGCTTGAATTTTATTTTGTTTATTATTGAATGAAAGCTCTTGTTTTGTCATTGCAGGTCACAATGAAGCTGTACTTTCAGTTGCTTTTAGTCCTGATGGCCGACAGTTGGCGAGTGGTTCTGGTGATACCACTGTCCGACTATGGGACCTTGGTACTCAGACACCGTTGTACACATGTACAGGTTTGGAGTCCGAGTTTCATATCACATTCCTAGTTTTGTACCTTTTGAACTTTTGTACACTATGAAAACTAATATAAGACAGCAGAAAAAATTTGTGTATCAAAATAAGAAAAAAGAAAAGGAAATTACATATAACTTGGATATTTGAGAAAATATTTTCCTGGATTACTGTAGTGACTAGAGATGGATAATGATTTTTTTTTAGCAGGATGGATAATGAAATTAATTATTTTAATTTTAAGGTTTTGTCACATAGACCATATTAGATGGGGAATTTTACATCCTGTGGGTTCTTAGGGTGAAAGCACACTTATGCTTGCTGTTGTGTGCTGCATAATAAGTGAGAATAAAGTTATTTCATCTTTTTGTCATTTTAAACTTTTTTCTTTGATGATTCACATTTAAAAATACTTTATTATAATGCAGAAGTCATCTTCATATGTCACTCCTTAGTGAAATTTTAACCTTATTATACCTTTTTTTCCCAAATAAATTTATAAGTTAAGAGGATTGTCACCCCCTCATCGTTATTGCCTTTCTATTATTTGCACAATGACAGTACACCTTATTTTATTCAGGACATAAGAATTGGGTCCTTTGTATTGCATGGTCACCTGATGGTAAACATCTTGTTAGTGGGAGTAAAGCCGGGGAACTCCAATGTTGGGATCCACAGACTGGGAAGCCATCAGGCAATCCACTTATAGTAAAGTTTCTATACTTCAATCACTGATCATTTTAAATTTCTCAGTTGATTGCTACATATTGTAATTTGTTGTTTCTGACACATATGAGGACACGCCTCTTCTATTTTGTTGTTTTTATGGATATTTGGTTGATGAAATATTATTCCATTAATTTTTTAGGGCCATAAGAAATGGATTACTGGAATCTCTTGGGAACCAGTCCACCTGAACTCTCCCTGTCGACGCTTTGTAAGTGCTAGCAAAGATGGTGATGCACGCATATGGGACGTTACATTGAGGAAATCTGTTATATGTCTTAGTGGCCACACACTTGCAGTGACGTGTGTAAAATGGGGGGGAGATGGTGTTATATATACAGGGTATGTTTTTTTCTTAGTTATTGCAACGATAATGAAATAATAATTTTTTTTTAATGAAAAAAGGAAATTGTTATTAGCACTCACTAGTCATTTCGACTTACGTTGAAATCTATTTACACCACGTTCCCTTGTGTTGTAAGAAAACCCTCCAATTGGTTTTAATTCATGATCTTGTCACTTATAAATGAAAGAGAAATAATCGGATGAGTCAATTGAACAGATTATTGAATTTGTTCATTTGAAAAGGATTCTCGGGTCAAGATTTCTGAGATAACAATACTACTAGCTCGTGTAGTTTTGAACACATTATTGAGCTGAAGTTCTCTACAGATTTATAACAAATATCTCCATCTTAACTGTCATAGGTCCCAGGATTGTACTATCAAAGTCTGGGAGACTACACAAGGGAAGCTAATTCGTGAACTTAAGGTAAGAAAGACACAGCTTTTGGTTCATGGTTTAGTTCAGTTACTATGATTTATGCTTCATTACTTGGTCGCTTTTGTAAATATGCAATTTTGTTATTGTGAATACCTAATTTATTTTGGGAGATTCATTATTATACCCAATATAGGAACCCAAATTATAAAAATACCCTATATGAAATGGACTTTAGAAACACACCCAAAGCGCATTTACAACATAACAAAAAGGCTTTTAACTTCTTTTCAATTACAAAACTGCCATTGATTTCTCAAAACAAACCCAACTCCAAAACATATAAAAAAGCCCAAAACACTCAATAGGGCATCAAAGTAATTTAATAATCAAAATTAAATTCAATAGGGCCAATTGTCATTTTTTGGGTTTGTTTATAGAAATTTAATGGTGTAGGGTTTATTTATAGTTTTAGTGCTAAGAATGGGTATTTGACTAAATATCTCAGTGGTTTGGTGTAGTCTCATGTCAATAGAATTCTTTCCATACACTTTAAATTATTTCTGTATGCTTTATGTTGATCTCGAGATTTGTTGATTTGATTTGGTTCTTGTATTAGATATTGCTGAGTGCTTAATTGAATTCTAGTGGTTTTCTTGAGGATTTCAACAATAAGATATTTCCCTCTCTTCTTTCAGACCTTGTTTCATGAACTTCTTATATAATGAACTCTGTGTCCTGTCTCTATTAGCTATTGCCTATCTTTTTATTTATTAATATTCAAATTTCGAATACTAAATCATGATTTTGTAATTTAGTTATTCTGTTATTTGTTTGTTTCCTATTGTTTTTAATCAATATGATCAGAAATATGCT